TTTGTACAATATAGATAAGAAATAAGATGTAAGTTTTAAATCTAATTATAACTTACGCATTAAACATAATACCTCTCATTTATTTCCGGTTTTGTAAATAAATATCTGAAGTTTATAACAAAAAGTAAAACTGTACATATGTTAAAATTTAATTATGGTCAAGAAATATATATACATATATACATATATATTTCAAATATGTATTGAGTTTTATTCCAGTTTTTCCCTCAAGTTTTATTTGAAAACTATTATGATTTTACTAACATGTATTGTTATACAACACTAGAAAAGATTCTAAAATGTCGAATTCCAATACATTGCTCTTAAACTATTCACATATTCTTCGAGAACATTAATATATATTATAATTTAAAGAATCCTTTTGTCTGTACAGCTCTTATTTTACAAGACTTATTAAATATTAAAAACTAATTGCTATAATTAATTCTTACAGTATTTTAACCTACTTAGTATAGTAGAGTTTAATATCCATTAAAGCTTTATAAAATTGTTATTCTGAGATGAAAAAGATTCTATGTATCATGCATATAAAATGATACTAAATAATATTAGCGTAAATGTCAGTAGAAGATAATTAACAAGTATTTGTGCTATGGAACAATGCTAAAAATGTGGTAGACAAACTTTGCCTGCAAAAAGCTCGGAGATTACTGTGATCCATAAAGCCAGAACAAACAAGATGTAAGCAATTCCAACTTGATGTGAATTAGGCAACTGATATGGTTGCCCGCCAATCTCATTAATATGAAATCCCATTGGAAATATAACTGCTGCGTTACAAAACAGTATCACTGCAATTTAATGTCATTTAGTATATAACACAATACATTGTAACCATGCATAAATTTTGCATTAATAATTTGTCATCCAAGATTTTCAAATATAATATCAACTATATTATAGAGTAGTGCTTTTATAATTTAATTATTTTATAACTTTGTATAAATACTACTAATTGCTCCGTACATGTATTACTTGTACATTTTATTATGCTATTGTATTTTTCTGATACATACTGGCACTGAATCCTACCCAGCGTGCAAATGGAATGACGGTACGGTCCCAATGCGAAAGTACCAATAATATTAAGGTTGCTGTGATCAGAATGCAACCAATAAATATGCAGACCAGTGCCATCATCCATTCCGACTCCAGCTGCGATTTAAAGCAGACTTGCGGTCTGTTGTACAAAGTCATACATGACCACATGAGACCTAATCTTGTGTCACCTATTAGAGAGGGAGGAAAAGAAAAACAATTAAAATGATATTCTCAAACGTCATGTAGTTTTTTCGCAATTCGCAACTTCGAATTGATTCAGAGTGATTTTAATCTTTATCTCATCAGCGTAAATAAATGACATGCAAGGCCACGGTGAGTAAAGGCAATAAGAAAAGATTGCATTTCTGCAATTACCGCCGACGTCAGTAATGATCCAGTCTGGCATAGAGATGCTAATTATGGCGGAGATATCCGCGAGAAAGAAGAGTACCACCGAGATGATAGTTAACTTGTCCATTTTTCGCGCTCAGGATACTCAACAATCAAAAGTGAGATGACAGAGAGTTGACACGTTGTTCGGAGCATAAGCAAATTGCCACCATATTTACGCGTCGTTTACTGTCAATTCGTCCATGCAACACGACTATCCTCCGGTGATCCCGGAATCGTCATCCGCGAATGCACAAGTGCCATTTCTTTATTGACAGTTACTGATAATCAAACACGCAGAAGTGTCAGGAGTAAACAAGTCGACAGAGAGTGGAGATGCAGTGCGGGATGACGTTGGGATGACCATCACATGGGATGACGTTCGATCGATTAATGCCAGAGTTCAGCACGATTTGCACTTCTCGATTTTCGACTTGGCTCCGCCTTTCGCTACTCTTCTCACCTCATCATCCCGCGTGCAGTCGAAATGCCGCTCGAAGCTTAGGAGCATATAACACTCGTATACATGAGATCTACTTACTTTGGGTGCTCACGCTGTAAACTTCATTCTATCTTTTTTACGCGCGTTGCTTTATCTATCTTAATTATATAATGAATGGCAAAAAAAGATATATATACATGTTATTTATATATTGGGTCGTCCGGAAAGTCCGTGCGTATTTTCCGCACGAACTTTCCGGACGACCTAATACATTATTTATTTAATCCAAATTATTTAATTAAAACAAAAATATTTGCATTTATTCAAAAGATGTATAACTTATTATTAATCTTTATTTAATTTTAAATCATCAAAGAGCAATAAAAATTGAGATATACTGTTGTCAAAAACATTTCACGTGAGCAATTATGTAAAATAACTTACTTGCTACATCTTGCTTTTTATCAGGATATTATTTTATATGAAATAATTTAGTTTATTTAAAATTATAAAATAAATATTAAATAATTGTTCTTCGTTGTACCTCAATATAATTATCGTATCACGTTAAACGACTCGCACCGTTAAAACTGAACTGCCTATTAATCTTTAAAATTGATCTCTTGTATTTTTTTCATTCGACTTACCGTTTCGGCGGTACAATTATTTTAATATACACACAAGCCACGTTTTTCGTCAATTTTTGAAACTTAAAGGTAAGCATACCTTCGTGTGAAAACATTAAAAATTTTTTTTTCCCGAAACACATGTCTGATTTTTTAATGTCTAGAATACATGTGCAAAATTTTAAAAGAATCTTCGATTTTTTTTTATCAAAAAGTGCCCGATTTGACGTGGAATGATCGATATATAGGTCTATTTTATAGCTGATTTGGACTTGGTTCATTTTTTCTCTTTTTTTTCCCAACAACAAAAAAACAGAAAAAATGAATCATCATAAATTCAGCTAAAAATAACAGGTCTAGGCTTTTTTGCGGTATTCAATTTTATTTACAAGATGTATGATTATATTTTATGTTGCGTTTTACTTATACAAAATTTTATGCTGTGTTTTATTAACACAATATAATATTTTATCGAACACATTCTATAATTAATAAATTAAGAATACAGTAAAAGAACTAAATAAAGATAAAGATTTATACATTGAGATATATACCTTAAAATTATTTTAAAAAAACAGTATCGAAAAACTAATTATGTAATTGTCAAATATCTATCGCGGAATTACGAACAAAAGTTTTGTAACATGATGATAAACTAATAAATGCCAACATTTGTAGGAAAAGGAAAGGAAATAATCTATATTTGTGATCAATAAACATCGACAAGGATGATCAATTAACAAATTATTTTGGAAGTTTTCAATCTATATATGTAATCGATTATAAAAAGTTCGTGCTATTTACAAATTAGATATAATACAGAAAAAGTCCACATGGAAACAAGTGAGTACAGACGCAAATACCTAAGGAAGACACTATCACAGTTAAAACGTGCTAGAGTATACAGAATAATTCCGGCGTTTAAACTTTTTGCAGTTCGGCTCGGTTTGAACACAACCAGTTTGTTCGCTACCTGCAATACAAACAATCTAATCATTTCGAAACTTTTCATTAAGAATTCTCTATATTCTACACATTCTTTTATTAACAAAGTTACAAATTATTTTGTAATAACGTTACTTACTATCATCCATCGAAGCGGAATCTGCAATTTCTGTGGTGGTTTCTGTATTCGAGCTATTAACTGTTCCATCCAAGGTGCTTTTACTCGTATCCCCGTTATCCGAATCATCGCCATCACTCTTAGGAGAAAAATTCGTCGGTGAGTTGTCGACGAAATACTTGTGTGTTGAATTCTCCTCAAAGGTGGAACTGAATACGCTTTCCTCGTCGAATGAGATATCCATGGATTCTGGCGTGTACTCGCCGGATGTCTCCATCGACAATTCGCTTGATCTACTGTTATCCATCATAGTGTTTGTAATAATCTGTAGTAGAGCAGAAGGATCATCGATACCTAGCATCCTGCAGAATCGAGTAGTCTGATCGTTTATCAGCAATCGTGGCCATTCGATCTGAGTATTCATATCACACGGGTCGTATGGTTTAACGGTTTGAGTGAAGTTGAGAGGAATTTGGAGATTGGAGCCAAACTTCTCATACACGGTCTGTTTTTCCTTTGCTGTGGGTGTGTATGTCCATCTGCCGCCACCGTACTGACCAGGCATATAATGGATACTGCTCTTGACGCTCAGCAGATGATTTGTCAGATAAAGTATCGTCAACCATTCTAGATCATAGTTCAATTGTATTGGACCATCTTCCTGCGAACGCACCTCCAGCACTTGAAGGAATTTCCGTTTCGGCAGACATTTGTCCAGCGCTAAAAACTTTGTCACTCGTGCTCCTCCCTTCTCAGGAACAAGTGCTGCGAATTTGCAATGCAAATGCGCGGAGAACCAGTAAGACGGATAAAGACGTTCTAACAGTTCCATACATGGAGGACTGCCAAGCGTATTGCTTTCTATGTCATCTCTAAAATAGCAAATTGTAATTAATATTGAATTTTAACCGTTGAAATATATCTATCGAATTTCAATAGAATTTTACATTAATGTTTAGTCTTGTCATTGAAAACTTACTTAAAAAATGGTTTTCGTTTCAGTAATATATCTTCATCTCCATATTTTGTTACTCCTGCCGGCCAATCATGTGATAAAAAAATATCAATTTTGCCAGAAAGCTAAAAATAAAAAATCTAGATATAATTTTTCAACTATCTAAGAACATTCATGATTTTATCTAAAACTGTATGATTAGCTGGAGAAGCATAGAAATATACAATTTCATTAATTAATGTGTGATAGCTAATAAACCTACCTGTTTTAATCTAAACACTTCTAGATTCCTGATATGATAAACACTTCGTATAGTACTATCAGTATAGGGAGGCTTCTCATAACGTCCCTGCATCCAATGTCGACTCTTGTATATACCTGAAAGTCCTGCAATTCTGATTCCAGCTACTTGTACCACACCTGCGTATCCAAGATAATAAATATTAGGTGCAACCCATCCTCCATATGGCAATTCCTGCAGATAATTTGATGCTTCATGATTGCCTCCGATAAAAATGGTTAATATAGGAGCTTTCTTTTCACCAGAATAATATCTGTAATAGAACATCAACATTAAAAATATATTGTTTTCTTATTAAATATTATTAAACATATAAATAGCTTATCTGAATAATCAAGTAAAAAATCTGTTCAAAATAAATTTTGCTAAATATCCACTGCAAACTTTATCAGTAAAATGTCAGCAAAAGTAATAAAATATAATAGCAGAATAACTGTGGAAACCAAGCATAATCTGTTATTTTTTAATCATTTTAAACATTTAATGTGTTCTACTTTTAATATAAAATTAATATAAAATTCGTTTAATTTCTACTAACAATCTGCTTATTTTAGCATTCTGCTGACAAGATGAATGACAAATTTGAGATATTATTATTATTATTATTTATAACAAATTTTTCAAATTTATTAAGCTTGTTTGGTTATAAGATAAAGATTCTAAAATCTCTCTCTATCCTATAGTCAACTAACGCTTGAAACTAACAGATGCAATTGTCACTCTGCTGCAATATGTTGCTGTATTGGCAGATTGCTAGCATACTGCCAACTGTTTGCTTCTTAACTAATGCTATGAACAGCCTACATTTAGTTTAATCAACTCTTGCTTAAACAATACTCACTTGTAAAATGTACACATATCCTTGTATTTATCCGATATTGCCATACATTTTAGATCACTTAAATTTCTGGTAGCTTGAAAATCGCCGCAGCAAATAAGCAGATCTATTTTCCTCCCATCGATTTTTTCTATTTCCTGTATAGTCTCGTAAATAATGTCCAGTTCGCCATGAGCGCAACCCTCCACAGCAATCCTCATTTTCGAAACTCAATCGTAAAATCAAGATTTACACTATCTTGTGACTAATGTCATATACGTTTTTCTCAAACGTATGGCTATGAATACGATGGCTAGAATCACCTGTAACGCCTGTAAACAACCTCATTACACATACATCGGCACATAACACTTTAAACTTAACCTCACGAGAATATAACCGCAGACTACTCTACGACCATTGTAACATAGATTGGAAACAATACCGATCTCGCGATACCGTTAATATTTCCGAAAGAGTAGGAGTAGATGATTGGCTGCAGGAAAATTATTTTTTTAATTGCATATCGGAACGCGTCATTATTTTAAAATGTGTGAATTAAGGATTTGGGAACCACAGGCAGTTAGATTACAAATTACATAAAAATATACTGGAACCTTATTATTTTGATTGATGCAGCCATTGTGTGGCAAAATTTTCATGTCATCCTTGTTTAATATATAACAATATTTCGATGTAACAATAAATAAATGATTTCAAATTTATTGATAAAGTCACTTGATTAAAATCCTGATAATAAAAATTCACGATTCTCAATGTAAACATATTATTTTTACAATCTTCTATTTTCGAGAAAAATAAAAGTAAAAAATAGAACAGATAAAAGAGTAAACAGAAAAAAAGGGAAAAGATATGTTGACTTAAAAAATAATTTAAAATAAAATCAAATTTAAAATAAAATAAAATGCGATAATCCAAAATTATATGTGAAACTACCATCTTTTTTTCTACATAAATTGTATTTTAAATATTTTGTTTAAATAATCAGAAATCAATACTTTTCAATCAGAATATTATTAAAAAATAAATCCTGCTTTTATTTTTTGTTCTGTTTAAATATTACATTCACATTTTATAAGCGTGTCAATGTACTTACAACTAAAATCGCATATTTTTTTTTATAACTTTTGTGTTCATTAAAGTAATATTTTTTTAAATATGTATCTTGATGTATACAAAAATCTCAAATTTCTTTAATCCATTGTATTACTATTATTAATATGATTCACTGAAATTCCGATTGATTATGGAATGAATACAAAAAAAAGTCATTCTACATTCTTAATGATGAAATACTAAATAACTACTAACTATTTGATAATAAAATATGATTATTCAATTTGCAAAAATAAATTTTACGTTTTACATTTTACTGTTTAAAGTTTATAAGTAAGATACATTAAAAATATATAAATGTTAAAATATATTTTACATTTTGCGTAATGTCATATAACTTTATAATTAAATTTATAGTTTGTTTCTTTTTAAGAATATTTAAGTCAAATCTATCACAATTACAAAAATTCTTCACACCAATCAGTGAGACATTGATAACAATCTGTTGACTGTTTCGCATTCGCTGAACAAGCATCCTTCATCCATTCTTGAAACAGCTCCTTATTCTTCTTTAACACTAAGTACTGTCCCAGGACCACATATGCCTATTAATAACATTCATAATTAATTCATTATTAATTCATATTCAAAAGGACTGATAAAAAATCATATAATTATTGTCATCTTTTACCATAATTATAAATATGGAAACACTGCTCTCTTCATTATAATATAAACTACTACAAACTTTAACTAAATTTTTAATTAGTCCAATTAGTAGAAACATTTGTAACAAGTTATTAATCATATAATTTATAATATACTAAAATACTGCTACTTGATAAGATATGATTAAATTAGAATTTATTTAAAAGTTACGCTAAGAGTGATTCAGATACATTCAACTAAAATTATAAATGTAAAGAAATATTTACCCTATCAAAGCCTGCAGCCTCTAATCTTTTTCCTAGCACCTCTCCAACACCAGCTAGCTCGGTCACAGGTTTGTCTCCCATTGGCTCAGCCACAAAGTTCCTGTGCTTCTGTGATGTAGTAGACATTTTCACCTGTAAAAGCAAAAATTTTTATTTTCTTTTCTAATACGTCATTAGACAAAGCTCATTTATATATCAAAGTGTTTAATCTATGTAAGAAGAATCTATACTTGAAATGGAAAAAATTCATTACGAATTTATTCCACTTTTTTAGTATTATAACCTTAACCTAATATTAAACGTAATAAAATTGTTCAACTACAGGTACTATTCGATAAGATATATAAGTAATTTACGAAAGTATTTTGTATAAAACTCTGAGACAAACAGCAGATAAGCTGTGATATAGAAACAAATACGACCAAAATGATAAACTTAACAAATCAATAAGATAGATAAGGGACAACTACCTGCGATTGGTTTGTGAGATTGCTTCCCGATTGTTCCCGATTATGAATTATCAATTATGATGGTTATGAACTGCAACCGTCGAAACACGAAATAAGTTTTAGGAATGCCAAAAAATTCAAAATTTGAACATAAATAAGACGCAATTCTTCCTGTTTCGTTTAGACTTCGTATGGCCTTGGTTGTCACAAGTTCAATGTAATCAAAAATCGTCTGATTCTATGTCCTCTGGTCCCATTCTCAATCATCGAACGTGGAACAAATATATAAATAGAACGAAGCGCATTAATTCTTTTGATTCGACATCTTGGAGTCACGTGGGTGAACGATTTCGCAATACTGGTTTAAATTCGACTACTGTTTTATTAATAAAGGAATATATTTGTAAAAATAAAACCTGTAGATATTTTTGTGGATAAAAACCGTCAAATACGCATAAAGAAATCTCCAAAGCTGTAAAATTGATTGCCGCCAAAAAAAATTGGACAAAACGAGAAATCAGCCAATCAGAATGCAATATTTGAAAAAATGTCCTCTTAATTATCTGGGTATCAATCATGAAATTTTTTTCCTAGGATGAAAAGTGAAAAATTTCTCCATTAATTTCAATGGTTAAAATTTTCACTTTTCACTTTCCATCATAGGGATAAAGTTTCTAATTCTCTACGATCTGAAATTTTTTAAATTAATTTAAATGAAATTAGAATAATAAATTACTAAAAAATATTAAATGTTATTTTTAACTAATTTCAAACTTTAATAATTAAGGGCGACTTTAACAAAACTCCCATCAATTTAATCAGTGATTAATTCAATCAATAGCTAACTTAAAAGAAAATTTTTAATTATATAATCGATATTTCTAATTTAATCATTTTTTCATGTATTAACAAAAACTTAATTCTATTTATTTATTAACATAAATAAAATAGTATATACAATTATATTATTTAATAAGTTAATTAACGTTTGATCAAAGTTATCCTAAACACACATTCGTCTATAATAATTCTTAATACAGATAGAATAAACTTTTTGTTGTTTAATGAAAAACCAGATTAAATTGAGGACAACGAATTATATATAGTTAGAGATCTTATAGCAAAATGCTGCCGATTGAATCAGTCTCTGATTAAGTTAATTGGAGTCTGGTCAAAGTCACCCTAAAACCACATCTTTCTCCACAGTAATTGTAATGGAAGGATGCCATTTCTTCTCTGTAATGTCGGGTGAAAAACGTCGAAGTCTACTTTTTTTAATTCTTCTAAATAATTCTCTACGCAGACTGTCGGTAGAAATATCATGTTAAGATTCTTCCCAGCCGTCTTTCTAAGCGATGTCGCCTAAAACAAAGAAAATAATATCGTACAAATCAGGTTTCGCGATCTTTTCATCTAAATGCAAAAACATGAAAATTACGAGTCATAGACGCAGATTGACTTGATGTCAATTAAATTCCACATATGTTACTAAGTTATTTATTGTACCACTTTCAGATGCTGCTTGGCGCAAGATGCAATTTCAAGTATAGCGTCTTTAAATCCAGCACTTGATTGTCCCTGAAAGATGGATTCAGAGGAGATGCTGTGTTTTAGTAGAACATCCTGTGGCAATATTATGATTCGTTTCCGGGCATTATATGGCACAGAACGTATCAAGGTAACTAGACCATGCGCTTTGCCAAAGTGGCTAGCTGTATGATCAGCATTGATACTTGCTATACCCTGTGCCTCTAGCAGCAAATAATAAATCGATGATGTAGTATAATCACAATATCTTTCAAGCGATTCCAAATCGACAAATATCGAATTGTTTAGCTTGCTCAAGCGAGCGTCAATCAAGCGCTTGAAATAGCGTTTAGACAGTTTATGTTGCTGAAGAATCTGCAAGTGCGAAAGCTATCTGATTTCCAGCAACAGTCATGTGAATGTATCTTGAAACAATGAGTTCTATTTATGTACCCTGTGTAACTCCAACACCACGGGACTCTTCGGAGGATTACCATTATAAATTCTGTTCAGAGCATCTGTCCAAAACTGTAATCGCATAGCACCTATCCTACTGTCGCTCACTTGATCCTCCACTTGTGCCACTTCGACATTAAATGCACGTACAGCAAAAGCCGTCGATTTAATACTATGAGGAAGTAATAGCGTACATAGAAAGTTCTCATAATCATTTTTCCTAAAAAAACAATGGATAAATACAACTTTAAGTAGATTTTATTGGAGCTGATTTTGTTATACACAAACATGCACAATTACTTTGATGTATCTTGCAAGAAATTTTATTTACTTAGTTTTATTCCAAAGAAACACAACTAAGTATATCCATTTCCTCAGGAATTAGAAATTTTGAAAAATTTATTTAAATAAATGCAATACTACAAAATCTGGAATGTATATACTAATATTATATTATACATTAGAATAATATTGTTACATTTGTTAATAACATTTTTTATAAACATGAATGTACAATTTTAGTTTATATTTGTGCATCTGCAATTTAACAAAGCAAAGACAAGTACCTAACCAGCTGCGAACAATACTCGGTCGGAGTTTGTTTTTGCCTTGCACTAGTCGTATTCATACGAATTATACATTGCAGCTGTGTTCGCACATTTTTCTCAATAACTGTTAATTTATTCATTTTTTCTAAAAAAAAAAAAATAATAAAAATTTGTTTTATTGAATTTAACAATAACAGCGGTCACACAATTATCCCAACGGAAACGCTAACGATATTCAGTATATTAAATTTGTGTCTAACGTGAAATCATATTTTAATATTTTTTTTATTACAATTCGGAGTATATAACCTCAGAGTATACAACCTATAAACTAATGTATGGTGTGTTCAAAATAATCAAGACCGCCAAAGTATTTTCTTGTAAATTCCTAGATCCTGATGCCATAAATTAAACTAGGACGTATCGAGTGACTTTAAATGTTGGCGACCCTACCGACTTTAGCCAACTTCACGTTTTACTTACAGAAGTAAATATGGCAAATTTGACAAAGTTATTAGGGTTGGATAAAGTCGCGACGTTATTTCGTACAATACGCGACCATGGTGGTATTATCGGTTCCATCAAAACGATCTTCAGGTTATTAGGCAGTTATACGCTATATTAGTAATATAGCGAATGTTCAAAATACTATCATTTTGTATTGTGTAACTCCGTTCTGACTTTGAGCTCTTGCAGCTTATTCAAATTTTGCTAATGTATTATAACATTTCTGCAAAAAATATTTTGCAATATATATAAATGCAATGTGTCAACGTAATATCCTTACAATTAATGTAGTGAATATAAATTCATTTCAGAGTGGATGAATTGAAGAGTGGTATCTTAGTCGGAGAAGACAAGTATGGCAATCGATACTATCAGAATAATATGCATTTTATAGGTCAGAATTATTAAGTACATTAATATGTACACTATAAATATAAATATCAGATTAATATGAGTATAAATGTCTATACGTACATATCACTTTTATTAAGATACTCTTCTAGCAAGACACTGACTGTATTTAATTTGACTATTCAAGTAATGTAAGTTTCATTTTATTGCTCATTATGTACCACATAAGGAAAATAGAATGAAATTTATAGGACATGAGCATCTAAGCTGAACATTGAAAACCAATGTAACTTAGTAAATCATTATATCCTTGTTTGCTAATATTAAAACAAGATGAAATAATTTACTGTTATACTATTGGTGTTTTCCAATAAGAGATAATGATTATTTTATTTTAACATTAGTAAATAACAAGGATATAATGATTCATTGTTATTTGTCTCTTGCTAGAAAGCATCCTTAATCTTATAGTCTTGAAAGTATATAACAGTGTAAAATACAATTAATATTATGTTTATTTAATATTCTTTATAGGTCGTAACAGATGGGTGATATATGCAGATAAAGTTGGACTGAATTATGATGGTTCACAAGTCCCACCTGAATGGTTTGGTTGGTTGCATTACAAGACAGATTTGCCGCCACACGAAGATCCATCTCGTCCAAAGTATAAATGGATGATGGATCATCAACAAAATATGAGTGGCACAGATCAAGCTTACATGCCTTACAGCACCACAAGACCAAAGATTGAACCTTGGCGGCCACCACAGTGAGCTTTGTTGGAATAGCAATGAGATATAAAGAGTAAAGTAGTTAGTATTATAGTTATTATTCATAATTATAGTTACATAAAATATTATTCAATGTAAATAAAATTACTATCAAGAGATAAAAAGATTGTAGATATTTAAAGACAGTTTTTATTCGTCCTTTTTTCACTAGTTAGCAGTATAATAATGCAGTAATAAAATAATTTAGTAATCAAACAATAATATTTAATATAATTAATTTCTAATTATAATGTATATAAGGAATAATGAAAGCATCTATTTTTATACATTCCTTTTAAATATTTATTTGGATTTTATTGGACTATATCAATTTTATTTGTTTCATTTGTTGGCATTTTTTTTATATTCATGCATTGTTTCAAATAGTTGGCCCGTTTTTTTATATTGTCCTTTACACTAAAATATTTATAAGAAATTGTTATGATTTCGTATCCTCTAGCTTTTAATAATTGCGTATATAAATACTGCGATCCTACGAGATCATTCTGTCCTATGCAATAATCGTGGTAATCGTGCAGCATTATTGCTATTCTGAAAGTTATACATAGTCGTTATTAATTTATTATTAATTTATATCTAAATATTAAAATTTTATAATTTTTTTTTCACTTGGAAATTAATAGAATATCTTAAAATTTTGACTAAATTATAGAATAATTTTCGCTAAAATAATATTAAATTATAGCTCTTTTTATTAATAACACGTGCCATACCTTTGTACATTATTTGATTGTTCATTCCAATCTTCCACTTTCATAAACCCGTGTTCACTATCTATGCAATATTCAGCATCTAAAAATAGTACTCTTTTATTTAACAAAATTGCATTTACTTACTCCAAATTTTACTTTGTTAAAAAAAAAAAAGAATTAATATTAGTATATAATTTCGCCGAGTTTATTTAGATATCAATAAACTAATGGTTTATTTATGAATAAATGAAACGCAATATTTAACATAATATTTTTCTTAACATATTTACAATTTTGAAATCAAATTCAAGGAAATTATACTGGCATTAATTTTTGGTTTAAAAAACTTACCTAATAAAAAGCCCATGTTTGTATCACAATTTATTTTAAAATAAGACGAAGACGGTAATATTTCTGTTAATGTTTCCAATAACGCGTTTATGTACATTTGTTTTTCCTTTGATCTAACAATAGATACATTATTCAATTCTGAATCTTTCTTTAAAAAAGGTCCTGTAATTTAAAACAATATAAGTATTGATGAATTATTGAAAATATACTAAAATACGTACATATCCGAATATATACCTTCATAATCCTTCAGTACAAACTGTGCAACAGCATTAATATTTAATAATTTTAATATCTTTGATATATTTAGCTGATTAAGGGCTATAAAAATCATAAGAAATTAATATTATTGATACAATATAAAATAGATACAAAATAAATCTTAGATACATTATTTATAGTAGATACAAACTGTTTTTTTTCATGAATGCAGGGTCCAGCAGGATTTGTACGTGTCGTGGTTTCATTGCATCTAAAACTGCTAAGGCCCAAGTAATATCTAGCCATTCAATCCAAGATAAATTTTCAAATGGGCTTGCACATTCTGCAAATTTCTAATCACAAAAATAATTTAAAAAATTATATATATTTTTATCAAAGAAAATAAAATTTTCTTATGTTCGAAGAAGAACTTCAAATATTTAAAATAAAAATAGAAACATTATGAAATTTTCTCAATGTACCTCGAGAAACAAGTTTGCTTTCTGGGATTTATACTGTAGGGCCGCAAACGTTTGTAGTATTGCTGAATAATCCAGAAATTTATAATTTATTGATTTCATAAATAAGGTGTCACAGAACGCATCAAGTATATTCATATTTTTGTAACGCAGAAATCCTAGTGACGTTATTAAGGATTTGTTTAAAGCAGCGTTCTTGTTTTTTGGTATACATTTCAGTAAATTAGATGCGATTTTTTCTAACAAGACCTATTGCAAATGTTATATTTCACAAACCCAATAAATCCTTGTGTTTATATATATATATATATACATATAAATGTGATATGCATACCTTGTCTGGAAAATTAAGTATAGCCATGCTATACAACAAAGTCGCACATTCGTTCAAATTTAATGCTATATTGTATTTGACAATATTATGCGACAACATCTTTAATAGTGGAGTATTTCTGTCTCTTTGTTCTCTCAACGATGCTATCACCTTCATCATATAAAAATATGTGAATACATATATTCAATATACATCATATGTACTGCAATTATTGCAGACATAGATTCTCATATAAAAATATATCAACTTTTATACATGTTAAAATTGTACAAATATACTCACAGCAATCATTGCAGGTGTGGATAACTGAGAGTATTCAGACAAATCATTTGATTTTTTCACCTTACCACTCTCATCATTCTTAACTATCTTCCTGAGGTGAATAAATCGTTCATCAGCCTCAATGTCTAATGTCTGTGATTTTCCACTGTTTATCTGTTTAGTTATGCTCGATATCAGCTTCAGAGCATCACTTATAGACAGGTTTGGTAATACTGCCAAGTCCAACAAATCGTTTATAGACTTGGCGGCTTGAAATTGCTTGAAAAATACTGTGTTGCTGTCATTCAATCGTTTCTTCCTACCGTTATTTTCTTCTGTCGTCTGGAAACTTGTATCCTTAGGTTGCTGCTCCTTTTCTTTCTGCACGACGGCTTGTATTTTTGAAAAATTAGCATTGTTATCTTCCTAAACAAAAAGCCACATAGTCTTTCTTTCCAAAAAAATTATGAATGAAATGTGAAGATTGTTATTAGAGATTGAGCTTATCAAAGAAAAAAAATTATTAGATTGCTGTTAATTCTACATTTACAGGTGCAGCGGGTTGCTCGCTGGTGACCGCCGTATTGGAGTTGCAGGCCACAAGAGCGGTGAAACGCCAGGATGAGCGAGGTGCGATCCTAGCAGTCGCAGTGTACAGCATCGCGCTGAACTGCAGCATTGTCATTAATCTGTAAAATTATTTATGTAATTATCGATCGGGGACATTCGCGATGACAGTCAGGCTTGTCGATTCATAATAATCATGACACTCGCACGAAACGACGGCACAATTGCTCTGAACAACTTACCTTACAAACGGGTGCAGGAATAAGTAGCAAAAATAAACAATTATCGTGAATGATCTTGGGTGTACCAGATATGCATATTTAGGTTAGGGAATCACCATGCACCCGGTCATAGATGCAAAGAAGTTTAGATGCGTGGTTGCGAGTTAAAATCGCATCAAACGCACTATCGTCTTTTAGTGGAATCTTTCAGTTTATTTCAAAAATTTAAAAGAGTATCAATTTAAAAATCGATGAATAATAATAAAATCATGTATGATTTTACAAAACAATTCGAGAACGTATACTAATATTTCAGGAAAATTAATTTAAGGAAAAATGAATGAATTAATAAATTAAGAAGACTAAATAAGATTAAAAAAAATATCACTCAGATATTCTATAAATTTGTTTCTCTTTATTATATCTCTTTATGTAAATATTATTTATCTGCGAAGAAGCTTAACAATTAAGAATTTTTATGAAGTTTATTTTCTATAATATTTTTATATTTGCAAAATAAGACAAATTATTATATTGTAGTATTTTATGTTATTTTATTTATCGAATTTATTATATTGTTCCATTAAATGTATAATTATTTATCAATATAAATATTTTTTAATAATTTCAATAATAACGAAATTAAGTTTAATAATAATATAACACTTTTTTTTAAGACAAAATGAGTAAGAGAAAAATATAAAACATATAAGAAAATATCTATATAATTATTTTTTTACAGTTGAACTCTTTGTAATTTTTATCTTCCTCTCTTTCTAATATCTGATTATATTATATAATAATTAAGAAGTTGTAATAAGAAATAAATATATTTTATATTATTATTTGTTTATTATTTACACATCATTATTGCGTTATTTTATCCAGTAAACGAGAATGGATTGAAATGGATTAAAATGGATTCAGATTTTTAGAAATATGGATTCGTGAATGTTAAAATGAATCCTTTTCAATCCTGAATGCATTTTTATTTATTTATAAGCGTAGCATGGAGTATATTTCTATGCTTTTTAATCTAAAAATAATATTATAGTATTTTGTGTGCATCGTAAATACTACTTAATTTAAAATTCTGAATAGAAAATGCAGTTTTCCAATCCAGTTGAATATAAAAAAAAGTATTTCTTTTAAAATGGACTACTAAATGAATACTATTTAATTCAAAATTGTGAATAGAAAATTAATTATTTTATTTAAAAATCCATTATAAATGCTATTTTATTCTCAAAAATATGAATAAGAAATTCAACTGAGTTAAAAAAAAAGTTGTACCGTAAAATATATATCATGAGAATTCTCCTTCATTTAATAGTTAAAAGAAACATAAAAAAAACTACGTAAATATGTACAATAAATGTTACTTATATAAATTCCTTATTTTTAATTAATTGCTTTTATGCATATTTTATATTAACACGTTTCCTTTATTATATAGCGTATATTTTTTGTATAAAAATTTTAAAATACTAACTATAGAATTTCATATAATTACTACTTTAATTTGTTTAAATTATTTTATATATATATAATTATTTTATACATATAAAAATATTTATATGGAACCCAATCCATTTTTATGGATTTAAAAAATATGGATTCGGATGGATTAAAAATTCCCAATCCATTTTCGTTTGCTGGGTATTCTCAGTTGCTTTTCTAAATACTTTTTATAGATCTAATAATATATTTTATTGATATAATTATACAAAAGATAATAATAGATATATAATAATATATTTTTTATTTTATTTCAAGTACCAAATGTATAATGTAAGATAATTTAAAAAAAAACAGATTTAAGAAATGTCGAAGGCTCGCTGCCGTCAAATCACTGCACTGTATTGAGTAAACACTATATAAGTATTAACTTGAAGTTATTTAGTATGTACAGATTATAGAACAGCCTAGACTCCAAAGTCCAAGGCACTGTAACAGTCTTTTTGAATGACTCGGCAAGGTTGGACGTATTCTTGCTTCGAAAGCTTCGGTTCCAGC